CCAGGGACAGCCACCGCGGGACGCTCTGACCATCCTGCGCAGTTGGCAATCAGAGGCCAAGGGAGTCCCTTGATGGGGACCGTGGAGGATAAACCCCCAGCCACAGAGAGCAGCAGCAAGACAGAGGGTGAATGCAGAAGAACACACTCAGGGAATAACCAGCAAGATTCTCTGTCTGGGACAATAACCTGTTCTTTCATAAAAAGAAAAAAAAAAGATTTATTTATTTATTTGAAAAGCAGAGTTAGAAAGAGAGAGGGAGAAAGAGAGAGATTCTGTCTTTCTCTCCAAATGGCCGCAATGGCTGGAGCTGGGCTAATCCAAAGCCAGGAGCCAGGAGCTTCCTGCAGGTCCCCAATGTGGGCCCAAGGACTTGGGCCATGTTCTGTTTTCCCAGGCCATAGTAGAGAGCTGGATTGGAAGTGGAGCAGCTGGGTCTCGAACCAGTGCCCATCTGGGATGCCGGCACTGCAGGCGGCAGCTTTACCCACTACGCCACAGCGCCGGATACACCTCCTCCTTACAGAGTCACGCTGGGAACCAAGCTTGGATGAGCCTGTGGAGAATGACCCGCATTCACACCATAGCACTGAGTCCCGAGTCTCTCCTCAGTGTGCACCTTGCTCTGCCACCATCTGTCTTCTCCTCCCATTCACTTCCAGACTACCCGGAGGATCCCTTCTTGTCTCAACCTCTTCAACTGCTCACAAGTGTTCTCACCCTGTCGTCTTCTGACCCATCCCACCTGGCCCCCAAAACTCTGTCCGGTTACCCTCACCTTCCTCCTGGCCAAACCCCAGCCTCTGTTTACAATCTCATTCTCCCAGCCACCTCCCCTCTTTGACCACCTCCTCCTGCTCTCGCTCATGCCAAGCTTCCCCCACCTCGGCGCCCCAGCCTCTCCTCTTTGCTCTTCTTCCTGGCTCGTTGGTGGGTCCCCCACTGCCATTGTTCCATTCAGCTCCTACACAGACAGCAGAGAGGGGTAAAAATGTCTTCACTCAGAAACTACACTAGTGCTGACAGTGTAGCTAAACAGTAGGAAACCCCAAATGTTCATCAGCGGATTTTGGTTTTTCTGAACAAAATGTGGAATAGTTATACTACAAAATACTTTTTTTTTTTATTTTGAAAGGCAGAGTTACACAGAGAGAGAGAGAGAGAGAGAGAAAGAGATCTTCTGTCCTCTGGTTCACTCACCAAATGGCTGCAACAGCTGGAGCTGGGCTGATCTGAAGCCAGGAGCTTCTTCCAGTCTCCCATGGGGGTGCAGGGGCCCAAGGACTTGGGCCATCTTCTACTGCTTTCCCAGGCCATAGCAGAGAGCTGGATCGGAAGTGCAGTAGCCGGGTTTTGAACCAGCACCCACATGGGATGCTGGAGCTTCAGGACAGGGCGTTAACCCGCTGTGCCACAGCACCAGCCCCATCATGGAATATTATTCAGCCATAAAAATGGAAGAATTGGGGCTATCTGCCATACCACGGATGAGCCTTGAAAACATGCTACTTAATGGGGGAAGCCAGACACAAAAGACCACAGGTGATGTGATTCCACTTATATGAAATATTCAGCACAAAAGTAAAGAGCCAGAGAGTCGATTAGTGGTTTTCAGCAGCTGAGGGACAGGAGGAACGAGGAGTGACTGCTAATGGGTACTGGGTTTCTTTTCTGAGAAGACTCTGATATCACATGATGGTAATGACAGTAAAACCTTGTGCGTTTACTAAAAACCATTGCACTGCACACTTTAAAAGGATAAATTGTATGGTAGATTAATTTTATCTCAATTTTAAAAAAATCAGGGACCAGCAATGTGGTACAGCAGGCTAAGCTGCCTCCTGTGACGCTGGCATCCCATATGAGCACTGGTTTGAGTCCCAGCTGCCCCACTTCTGATCCAGTTACCTGCTAATGCACCTGGGAAAGCAGCTGAAGATGGCCCAAGTGCTTGGGCCCCTGCCATTCACGTAGGAAACCCGAATGAAGTTTTAGGCTCCTGGCTTTGGCTTTTTCCAGCCCTGGCCATTGTGGTTATCCGAGGAATGAAACAGTGGATGGAAGATCTCTGTCTCTCTCTCTCTGACTTTCCTTCTCTTTCCATCACTCTGCCTTTCAAATAAATAAATAATCTTAAAAAAAAAAAAAAACACAGGTGTCCATATGGGTCGTTGGTGCTATTGGCAGCAGGTTAGCCCACTTGTGCCTTAGCACCAGCCCCTAAAACTATTTGTTAAAATATTTATTTATTTGAGATGCAGAGACAGAGGGGTGGGCATTTAGCACAGTGGTTAAACGCTGCTTGCATCCTATATCAGAGTACCAGGGTTCAAGTCCTGACTCTGTTCCCAATTCCAGCTTTCTGCTAATGTACACCCTGGGGGGCAGCAGGCATGTGGGTACTTGCTATCCATATGGAAGATCCACATGCAGTTCCAGCCTCCTGGCTTCCATCTTCCCAGCCCTATCTGTTGTGGGCATTGGGGGAGTGAGTCAGTGGAAGGAAGATAGATTTCTCTCTTTTTCAATTAAATTAAGTATAAAAAATTAAAGAGAGAGAGAGAGAGCGAGCTCCCATCTGCTGGTTCATTCCCCGGATATTTGCAACAGACCCTGAATGAGGTCAAAGGTGGACGCTGGGAACTCATTCTGGGTCTCCCAGGTGGGTGGCAGGTACCCAAGCACTTTAGCCATCACCACTGTCTCCCAGGATCTGCATTAGCAGGGAGGTGGAGTGAGGATCTGGAACTAGAAATTGAAGTAGCAGGAACTTTGATGTGGGAGGCAGACATCCTAACTGCTGGGCCAAATGCCCACTCCTCAAAACTTCATTTTTGTCACATAAATATTATTAAGATCTTACATGAGAATTTCTTTTGGATCTGAAAATAAGAGAAAGAAGTTTCCTTTCCTTCTACCTTAGAGAGTCTACACTGCAGGGAGAAGCTTAGCTCCTTGCGTCCCACTCCCTGCTTTTCTTGGCTCTGAGAAGCTCACTCAGATTTAACGTTCATTCACAATAATCGCAATAAGTCTTCCAAACAAAACGTGACTCTTCCTCCTCTTTGTGGTTGTGGCTTTCTATCTTCTAACAGTCATTTTGATATCAGGATGCGGAGAGAAAGGCATAAGCCCTGGAGTCAGAGAAACACAAGTTCAAAAGGCCCTGCACCTACGGCTGTGCAACTTGAACAACTCAGTTTCTCCGAAACTCCAATTTCCCTTCTGTAGGGTCATTACCAGGATGAAATTACAACGTACACAGGGTATGCAGCACACACTAGATGATCAATAAATGATCATTACATGACGCCAGGCTATAAATGAATAGAACAGTTGAAAGTGTTGCTCCAGGCTGACCTTTAGGAGAATAAGCCGCCACTCAGGTGGGGTGATTGAGTAAGGAGCAAAGGCCAACTTGCCCAAACAAGCATCTCCCTGGCAGTCAGTCCCAGGATCACTATTAGGGCTCTTGGAAAGATGTCTTTTTAGCTTGGTTAAGAGATCAGCTCACCAGGAGTGGGCACACGGCACAGCACTTGAAGCAAGACAGGTCGGGGGTGAGGGCAGTTCCAGCACTGGGAATGACCGGGCACTGCAGGACCAGCTACTGAATGGTTGAGCTGCCTAAACCAGCCCCACTTGCCAAACTTCTTTTTCTGCTCTTTCCAGGATCCTCCGGGAAGAATGTAGAGGGTCTCAAGGACACAGAACCTGAACAAAGACAAAGAAATGAGGGCGATGAACTCCTCAAGCGAGGGCAGAACCTCGGGAGATAAGGGGAAAGGCAGGTCTGTAGCATCGAGGGCCCTGGACTTGGACTCTGGGCTCTCCTAAACCAGTGTGGGGTCCCACAGCAGGCAGGTGGCGGCCAAGCCTCGGTCTTGTCATCTGAAAAGGGAGACAAGTCATCGCACCCTCCAGTCAGCTGTGCTGATCAACCAAGGTAACGCTTCTGGAAGCAATTTGTACAGTAAAAAAAAAAAAGGTAATTCTTATGTAGGTTATTATTCTCGACTTTGCCTAGGGCTGACTCTGTCTCTTTATATTAAATTTCACAATGGTGCTTATTAAAATGGACCTTCCTGTATATGTTTAAAACATTTGAAAATGGCGGGAGGTCGCCAAGGCACAGTGAAGCTTCCGAGGGGGAACCTGTCTCTCCCTCTTCAATATTCCTTTTGACAACTGCAAGTCAGACGAATTAATGGGCCGAAACTCCTGCAGGAATTCATTAAACCAAGTACAAACTCCAGCGCCCACGTTCATGGTGAAGCCGCCGCCAGCTCACCAGGGCGGCTGCACCCGGAAGTCCCCCGGACACTGCCAGCCCAGCTGAGCTCTGCTGCGCCCCGGCCTGCAGAACCAGAGCGCGGATCGTTCATTAGCTCCTCAGAAGCGCACGGCGTGGGTTTTCCTTGGCGATGGGGCCCGCGGAGGAGAAGGTATGGGACAACGCGTGTCAGTGTCCTAGCTCCACACCAAGCTTGGTGAGCGTGAGTGGAAGCGCCCGTATTCCACACGGAGAGATGCGTGCCCAGGGCACAATGAGAGGAATAATCACGGCGATGGTGCCTCTCAGCATGCACACCAGCCGTGTCTCAGCTCTGGAAGGACCTGAAGGGCCACCCCGTCGGTTGTGAGTTCAAATCTTGACGCCACCCCCTGCTAGCCATGTGCCCTTGCGCAAGTATGCCTCAGTTTCCTCATCTGTAAAAGGGAACGCATCAGTGCCCACTGTGGGCCCACGCCCAGCACCGGCCCAGAAAAAGTAAGCTGTGGATGCGCGCGACCCGGGTGCGCCGCCGCGTGCGTCCCGCGCGAGCGAACGAGCGAGTGAGCGACCTTGGCGTCTCTGGACGCGTACGCGGCGCGGGCTGTGCGGACGCGTCCTGCGCGCGGGCCCTGGGCCCCGAGCCTGGAACTTCTCTTCTTGCCTGTTGCCTGCTCGTGTGCAACGTTGCCAGCACAGGGAGGCCTGGCCGTCTGAGGTAGGGGAGCCTTCCGCCGCCAGCCCCTGGTGGGCTGCTGGGCCGCCTTCCCCCGCTGGCTGGCATCCTCCTCCGAGGCTCGGGCCCGCGCTTCCGGCCAGCCTCCCGGGCTTCCCGACCCCTGCCCTTCCCGCCGTCTGGGTTGGAGTTCCCTGGGTGCTGGCGTTGACCGCAGCTCAGGTGGTAGGACACCAGCCCCTGGTTACAGGTGAGCAGGCGGAGGTTGGGCGCGTGGAGAGCCACGCAGGGAGTAAACGGCCCAGCTGCGGCTCGTGTCTGTCCCGAGCCTCGTGGCCTTGCTATTCCTGTGGGCTTTTATAGGTTCCTTGGTGCGCTGCTCGCGCCCGTGTTTTCTACTTTGAGCCCGGCCATTTCCTGAGCACCGGGCGAGACCCTCCCCTCCGTGTGCCCAAGGCATGGCTTGCTTTGTCGGGGTGGTCTTCAGAGGCCTTTGAGAAATGGCGTGTGTTTTGGTTGGCTTGGCATGCTTTGTTTAGTGTTTTAGTGTTCCCTCCCCGGGCCACAAAGGGAGCTGCTGTTTGTCGTTCCAGAAAGGTGTTCTGTCCCCAGCCCCTGCCCCATGTGGTGGATGTGGAGTTCATGACACTCGAGAATTTTCCATTTGACTTTCTGGCTAAAACTCATCTCCTTCCACCCTTCAGACTGCGAGCTGAGTTCTTGCTGACCAGAACCGTCGCCCTCGCTAGCATTCCGAGGCTGTTAAAGATTTGTTTAAAAGAATAGATATAAAATGTGATGTTAGGAATAAGACATCTTGGGCCGGCGCCGTGGCTCACTTGGCTAATCCTCCGCCTGCGGCACCGGCATCCCATATGGGCGCTGGGTTCTAGTCCCGGTTGCTCCTCTTCCAGTCCAGCTCTCTGCTGTGGCCCGGGAGGGCAGTGGAGGATGGCCCAGGTGCTTGGGCGCCTGCACCCGAATGGGAGACCAGGAGGAAGCACCTGGCTCCTGGCTTCAGATTGGCGCAGCGCGGGCGGTAACGGCTATTTGGGGAGTGAACCAACGGAAGGAAGACCTTTCTCTCTGTCTCTCTCACTGTAACTCTACCTGTCAAATAAAAAAAAAAAAAAAAGAAAAAAAGGAATAAGACATCTTGACAAAGTGATAACTATAAAAACAGGGCACTTGTACTATTCTAAATTAATCTTGGGTCTTTGGACATCAGGACTCAAAGTATTTGGGATCCCATAATTATTTGATCTCATAGCTGTTGTTTAAGACAGATTGTTTTATTTTTATTGTAGCTGGAATGGGGGGGGGACAGGAAAGTAAGGTGACACTGTTGAAATCACACTGAGGCTACATGGGAGAGTGGGGGAGGGAGGCTGTCTGGTAGAGGTTGTGGGCTTGGGTTTGTGGGATTTGGGGAGGCGCCCCCTCCCCAGGCCAAGGGATGCATTAGGCAGATGGAACCACATTGGAGTGGAGCCAGTTGGGGGGGGGGGGCGGAGGCTCTAAGATAATTGCAGTCCTTAGTTGAGTGGTTGGAGTGTGGAGGGCTTGGGGGAGACGGGGGAATGTAGAATTTAGATGTGAAGTCTGCCTTCCTGTTTGACTGGAGGGGGCCTTTGTCTCCTGCTGTATTCCTGGCATGGCACCTACCATACAGCACGTGCAGCACGTCAGACTAAGCAGAATTATCATTTGTCACCCATTCCAGGAGGCATGTTGGTTCACATTTTCACAGCTCCGAAATTGGGCTGGGGCCCGCAATCCATGGTGTCTTCCTTGTGCCATCATTTCACTTGGCAGCCTCTTGGCTTTCTTTGTGGCACAGAAAGTCACGGTGGCCCTAAAAGGAGCCGCATCCTAGCACTGATGAAGCAGTGCCGTCCACTGCGGCCGTGGTCCAGGGACTGTACGTTTCAGAGCTGGAGATGGGGGAAAAAAGAGGAGCGTTTATCAGATGGCACTGCTGTTGCTTATTTCTTCCTCTTTAAAAGGGTCTTGTGTTTTCAAGGAATGTGAGAGCGGTTGGCAAGGCGTGGAAACAACAGGTACCTGGGTGATAGATGACAGGGAAGAAATAGCTGGCAGATGTGTCTCCTTTCCAAGTAAAATTGGACTGCCACATATGCACTGGCAGATGAGTCCCTCTGACTGAAGCATGCTTCGTGGCGGGCAGACTTAGTCACCCACTAAGCAGGCATCCCTGACCCATGAGCCGCATAACCAGCCAGTCTGAGTGTACCTGACTCCTTTGAGATCCAGGCTGCAGCACCTGCTGACTTCTTGGCCATCCCTGGCTCTGTCCCATGGCAGAAACCTCTCAGTGCTATAACCACCTTCGGAGAAGAGACCATAAGTGCCTCAACCATGGCTTTCCCACGCTCAGCACCGTGCCTGACTCCTGAGAGATGCTAATTTGGAGTTTGTACAACAGAGCTGTGTTGGACAGTCTGAGATAAGGTGTCTTCCTGGTGCCTGAGTTGGAATCTCCATCTCATAGGAATCACGTTTTGGGTCAAGGTTCCGTTCAAGGCCCAAGTCCTCTGAGCTGCTGGTTTTGTGAGCTGACGTGGAGACCTTTCTTTCTTTCCAACCCCCATCCTTCTCGTTTCAAACACTTGGCTTGCTAAACGAGCTTGTGGGACTCAGTGCACTTACAGATTGGAAGCCCCTTGTAAATGAGCCACTTGGTGGCCTGGCTGCAGACACTGCAGGAACGTGGAATTCCATTTGTTGCAGCAGGTTGTCTGTGCCAGGCTTGGTATTGAAACAGGTAGGCAGGTCCCCAGCCTGGGGACAGTCAGAAAACTGAGAAACTCCTGGAAATACAAGGCCAAAGTTCACCTTCCTCCCTGTCTCCAGGGAAGGCATGAGTTGGATCCCGAGGGAGGACCACCTCAGGATCTCCGGGCCCGCCCCCTGCGCCCACTCCCTCACCCTGGCTGACCGCCCTTACTCCTGCTAGAATTAGAGGCTTTGAGCATGCAGAGCATCCCTTCACAGTTGTTTGTGTTGACGGGGAGGCTTTCAGGAGAGCGTTATTCTCCTCTTTTGCAAGCTGACTCCCGGGCTCCAAGGACACAGGTTCACTTTGCCTGAGAATGCGGCCAATGGCCACTGCCCTGCCACCCACCAGTGTGCCAGCAGAGTATTCCTTTCATCTTTGAAGGTGACTTTGAGGTTGGTTTTGTGGTAAATGTCCCATGGGTTTTCACATTTCAGTTTGGTTTTGTTGAAAGTACTGATTATCTAAGGTGTTTTGTTTTGTTGTTGTTTCTGTTTTGTTTTGTTTTGTTTTGAAGCTATTAAAGACAAATGAGGAGTGAGTTTTTGGCACAGCAGTTAGGGTACTGCTTGGGACACCCAAGTCCCTTATCAGAACGCCTGTGTTTGAGTCCTGGCTCTGCTCCTGATTCCAGCTTCCTGCTGCTGCACACACTGGGACAGCAGTGATGGCTCAAGTAGTTGGGTCCTTGCCACCTGTGTGAGAGATCTGGATTGAGTTCTTGGCTCCTGGCTTCGGCCTGGTCCAGCCCTGGCTGTTGTAGATATTTGGGGAATTAAACAGTGGATGATAGATCTCTCTCTCTCTCTCTACCTTTCAAGCACATTTTTCAAAAAATGAATACTAGTCTTCAATTCCTACAGTAAAAATTGTTTCAGGCAAGAATCAGCAGTGGATGCTAAAACTAGGAAATGAAAATATAATAAGACACAATATGTTTGCACAATCTCAAAGCATTTTCCCTTGAGATACCAATTAATTACAAAGGGATAAATAGTAATATTATAACAGAGAAACCTGGCAGATCTCACCTTAGCCAAGTAATTAAAGTTGGTAATAACAGTGATAGGACAAGATGACATCGTGAGCTCTGATATAACAAAGCTGAGGACACAGCTTTGCATTCCTGTACAAAATATGTAACCTGTATCCAATCACGAAGAAGCAACACACAAACCCAAACTGATAAAACTTGCCAAAAACAAAACAAAACAAAAACAAAAACAAAAATCACCAGCACTCAATAGTGTCAAAATAATGCATTCATACACACACACACACACACGAGACAGAAAAATAATTAATTATAAAGTAAACATACTAAAATATTAACATTTGGAAAATTTGGATGAAGAGCATCTGGGCATTCTTTTTTTTTTTTTAAAGAAGATTTATTTATTTATTTGAAAGGCAGAGTTAGAGAGGGGGCACAGAGAGAGATCTTCCATCTGCTGGTTTGCTTCCCAAATGGCCACAACAGCCAGGGCTAGTCCAGGGGGAAGCCAAGAGCCTGGAACTCTATCCAAGTCTCCCATGTGGGCAACTGGGGCCCAAGCACCTGGGTCATGTTCCACTGCTTTCCCAGGCACCTTAGCAGGGAGCTGGATGAGAAGTGGTACGGCCACCCACTGCGCAACAATGCCAGCCCCTCTTTCTATTATTTTTGTAACTTTTAGTAAGTCTGAAATTACTCCCAAATTTAACAAAATAGAACAAAAAAGAATTTCACCATTTTTTTCCAATAAAAATAATGAATGTGGGAATAGAAAAAATTTGTTGTGAGTATTTGGCAAAGATAGCTTGACAAATCTGAATAGTTTTTATAGTGTGGTTACATGAAAATCTTGTGTGTCCTGGTAGATGTCCAACAGAAATTAATAATGTCCTTCAAAAGACATGTACACGATATTGAGAACAGGTGTATTACTAATGCTCCTGCAACAAGGAACATTCCAAACAGCCATCAACAGGAGAATGGATACAGGCATTGTGGTGTATTCCTAGGATGACGTAGGATTTGAACGTGAACAGGAATGGACTGCTATTGCTACATGCAGACATCTGGTTGACTCTCCCATGCATGATTTGAAATAATCAAACACAAAGAAGTATAAGAAGTATGTGAAGTTCAAGGACAAGCAAGATAATTGTTAGTGATAGAAGCTGAGTAGTATTACCTTTGGGGATTATTGACTACAGGAGGTGAGAAAGAATCTTCAACAATGTAAAACACGTTCTGTGTCTTGATGGGGTGGTGGTTACCGTGTGTGTGTGTGTGTGTGCGCGTGTATCTGCGTGTGTGCTTTACATACACACGTATATGTAAAAATACTTAAGCTAAGTTATACCTGAAAATATATCTTGGGTGTATTATATTCTTATCTCTAAATGTAAGATATAAAATAATAAAAATTCTCAAAGGTGACATGTGATAATATGTTCATGACCTTGGG